TCACTTCTTCCCTGTTTCCAGTGTTTTTGCTAAGTTTGTGATCTGCTTCTACATCTACTTCTCCCCAAAGAAGCAAAAGATAACTCTGCATTTATAATAACGTTATGGATATTTATTTTATGTAGAGTTTCTTAAGTGTAGTTTGCTTGCAGGGCTTAGTCTTAGTCTTAGCCTGTGTCCATACTGCCACCACCGTGCTTGATGGCAGGTTTGATGGTTTTTTTTCCACCTCCAACATATTTCTGGTCATTGTGTGAATTTTTGTTTGTTTAAGTTTGCAGCTGATCACCTGGACAGAGAGAAAGGCCTTCTGGAGGAAAATCCTTTGGTCAAGAGAGAAGGTGTGGAATGTAGACACCAAACCTACCATCAAGCATGGTGGTGGCAGTATTATGCTCTGAGGCTGTTTGGTGCCATTGCAACTAGTGCTTTACGCAAAGTAAATGGCATAATGAAGAAGGAGGATTACCTCCACATTCTTCAGGAACATCTCAAACTATCAACCAGAAGGTTGTGTCTTGGATGTAGTTGGGTGTTCCAACACGAGAATGATTCCAAACAGACTGTAGTGGTAAAGAAATGGCTAAATAGGGCTAGAAATAGGGTTTTATACTAGTCTTGCTAAAGTCCTGACTTAATCCCCATCAAGAACTCTTGGGCTGTGATGAAGAAGCAAATGCCAAGAAATGTAGTTTAACTGTGCCCAATCTGTTAAGAGGAGTGGTCGAAGATACGACCAGAAGCTCGTGGACAGCCACCTGACAGGCCTGGTTGAGGTGAAAATGGCCAAAGGATATTTAACCAGATATCAGTATTGCTGGATGTATATGTTTGGCTCAGATGATTTTGTCATGGGCTGCGAGGTGGAGCGGTGGTTAGCACCGTTGCCTCGCAGCAAGAAGGTCGCCGGTTTGCGTCCCAGTGAGGACACCTGGGATCTTTCTGCATGAAGTCTCCATGTTCTCCCCGTGCAGCGTGGGTTCTCTCCGGGTTCTCCGGCTTCCTCCCACAAGGTCCAAAAATCATGTTGAGGTTAATTGGTGATTCTAAATTGTCCGTAGGTGTGAATGTGCTTGGTTGTCTGTCTCTAAGAACTTCCCAATGATATCTAATCTGATAGATGACCTAACTTTACAGTAACCTAGCTGCAAATGTCCACATGATCTGCTGGATTTGCATTAACTCTGGTGTCTGATAGGAGCGGTCTCTTACCCTGCGGTTGGTAAACACAGTGTAGCACTCCTTCACCAACACAGCTTTAATAATTTCAGGATCTGCCACCATTAAAGTTGCCAGTTGTCCGTCAAACACTCTGCACAAACACAGCACGGAATCAAGTCTTAGACAATGATAAAAACACTGCATATCTTATAAAGCATCCATGTCAGAATAAAATACAAACATTTGCTTTAGTCTCGACATGGAAAGAAATATTTCAGTATTTCACAGTACACACTGCTAATTGTTGCAGTCATTTGCATTATTACATACACATATTTGCTCTCTCCCTGAGTGGTTTATTGATATATGCAGGCAATTATATTTCTTCAACTCAATTCAGTCAAAGATCTTAAATTTATTTAGTTGCGACATGGAGAAAAATCCTTCTTTAGTAGCTCATGATGACTTGGATTTATGTTGTTACCTTTAGGAAGATATTTGGTTTTATTCATATTATACCAATTTATAACATGAGTCATCGCAGGTAGCTTCTCACACAGTACAGTACAGTCACCTTAAAGAATTACTTCATGGAGCGAAACCCAACAAATCCAGCAATTCCATCAATAAAAGCACTTTATATGTAAAGTCAAAATTAAAATTTGCTCCACCACAATGAAGACTAAAATTCTACTTTTACTTGATTTTCCTAAAACTCACCCCCAGACGTCTCCATACTTGGCCTGGCACTCCCGGTCAAAAGCAATCATTCCCTACAAGAAACATGTTTTAGTGTCAACAGTTGAAAAACAGGTAGGATCAAAGTGCACAAATAAGTCAGGCAGGTTACTGACTCTGATTGATTATGTTTTAATGCATGCCTTTGTGATGCTATACATTGTCCCAATAAACGGCAGCGGTCTCGGTCCTTTTATTCCCACCTTTGAGAAGAACCTGAATGGCAAAATTCCATACCTGAACTCAAAAAGAGAGAGTTACAGATCAATATTACATATGTGTAATGAACAGTTTATAATACCGTGGGACAGTGAAGAGAAAATGACCAAGTAGTGCTTTGACAGTTTACAGAAACAGATACTCACAGTAACACCAGGGCGAAAAGGAGAGCCAGTAAAGTCCATGTTGTTGCTGAAAACAAGTCGAAAAACATCTT